ATCAAAGTAACATGTCATCCTAGCATGTATTAGCTCCATTTTAGTGGGTTTTTGGTCATCATTTGACATGTCATGGTTCTGTTTTTGGCTGGTTTAGTAGCCTTTCACATGCTCCATATGCTTGTAGTGTAAATCTTGTTCACTAGCTTCGAGTGCATGATGTTTTGTCTCTTTATTCTATCACATTTTGGCTGTTCTCGAACATGGTTTTGTTCATATTTTATGCTGCCTTAGCTCTGTTTTGAGGCTCCTCGGTCGAATGATGCTTGCCATGCATGCTTATAGTGTAATAGCCTTGACTAGTTTTGAGTTTTGAGGTCCCTTGCATGCTTAACTTGAGGTATTTGCATGTTTTGGCATCATTGAGAATGTTATTTCAGAACATGTAAGGCTGCTACACTTCCATATTTTCCACTCTTCAAGTGCTCTTTAGAGTTGTTCTTTTATGCCCTATTTGTGAGCCATTGCATGAGCCTCATTTTTGTGCCTTTCAAGCCATCATTCCAACTCATTTTTGCTACTGTTTTGGCCTGAATAGGGTTAGTTTGGGGTTGGTTTGGTCATTTGAGCAACGCCTTGCATGCCTCTAGTGTAATATGCCTCACTAGCTTTTGATGCTTGAGTCCTTCAACATGCATAACATGAGTTGTTTGCATGATTCTAAGTCATCTTGCATGCCATTTCAGTGCTGGAACATATGCCATTGTAATCCATGTTTCATCCTTTTAATGCTTATGGAAAGTTGTGTATTGTGCCTTAGACTTGGGCCATTGCATTATGCAAGTTTGCATGTGTTTTGGTGCCTTGATTTCATCATCAATGACCGCTGATTTGGACATGGCCGAGGCCTATCCATTTTGGTATAAGTCCATTGTGCATTGAGTATGCCATGTAGTCCATAGCATTGAGTATGCCATGTGGTTGCATGATCAAACACTCCATTTGTGCATGCCATAGTCATTGCATTGTGTATGTTAGTTGCCACGTGCAATGTGTATGCTAGTGTCATCAGCATTGTGTATGCCATGGAATTCATAGCATTGTGTATGATAGTTGCATGTTCACATGTTTACCCCTTTGCACATTTGCATGTCTAAGTTGTATTGCATTAAATTGCATGATTGAGTCGCATTGTGCATGCCATGTTTGTTGCATTGTGTTTGGAATAGGCGTTAGTCCAAATAGGGGAAACGAGGGACGTTTCATCCTCGAAGTGATGAAATGTGCCTCGATTCTCGGTCACCGACACTCTTGACTATACATGATGGAGTTTTGGGCTTTACGTGTTCGTGCGTGCATTCATGTCACATTGAGTCGGGCAATTTGGCTCCTCGGCCATCATGCATCGAGATGCGTGATTGGTGGCCCGAGGGTCGAGAACTATACTCCCTTGAGGTTATGTAATGATAGGGAGGATGATTGTGCATACATGTTTTGCAAATACTTTGCCATGCCCCTTTCTTGCTCTCTGTTGCAGTAAACCAGAAATGAACAGCAAAAACTGGTCGGCCGACCAGATAAAGTGGCAAGCCGACCACTTTTTCTGGTTTTCACCATAAAAAGTGGTCGGCAGGTGGTCTCAAAAGCCAACAACTGGTCGGCAGCCTTCCCACAGGTTCCCTTGGTGGAGTTTCAGCCTTCTAGAGCTTTGTGCAGTGTTCTGAGATCAATTGCAAACAGAGGCAAGTCGGGCATCGCGATGGATTTCCGAGCAAGGCAATTCGAGCATGCATGCATCCTTCATCATCTAAGGCAGAGCTGAGGCAGCCCACTTCACATAGTTTGCATGCTTATTTAATTGCTAATTTAGTTGATTTGTTAACTAGTTAGTGTTGTGTAATAATTAGCTATAGCTTGTTATTCATTCTGTTATGTAATAACTAGTTTAATTAGATTACTTTAGATTAGCTAGTTGGTTCTGTATTATTCATTCAAACCCCCCGTCGAAAGGGCACAACTGTTGTAAATAAGTGTGCGTGTGTGTGACGCATGTCTTCCAACCCCCATTTCTTTCTTCCTTTTATTTACCAGATTACGATGGTTAGTTTTAGGGCATGCTTCAATTAGTATCCTTATGCTCGCATGTTTGCATCCATTCATCTATCTTGCATGCACTGGGCTCGGCGCATCATACTAACTGCATTGTATTTCAATTCCTGTTTGAATACATGTATCAAATTGCTTTTCACATGACATTTTAGAATAGCCGAGCCTATCTTAGTTGCATTTTGTATGTGTTGCATTATGCATTCTTGACATAGCTAGGATCATGCATTGATTTCTAACATAGCTTTTGTTTTGGCTCTGAGTACTCGGTAAGTGTTTTTGCTTTAGTATCCTTGCATGTGTGTAAGTGACTGCCATGATAGCATGCTTGCCATGAAGCTAACTGCTTATGTGATATAACTGCCTGAATGCCTGTGGGTGAAGGTTGGGTTACTTGAATTGGAACAATTCATTGATTGCGAGTTTTAAGCCCACTTGAGAGTGGCAAATCACAGTAGCAAATTCCAAAGTATTTTTCAAGACAAACGGATATGCAATGCTTATTTCCAAATTAGGCAACCTAGTCTATACTTGTGTGCTGTGTGCATAACATAGTAATTCTAGTCTAATAATTGGGATAAGAACACATAACGTTTTCAAAAACGGATATCACGGTTAGTCGAGGCCGATCTTCGGATCGGGCGAGAGGGGGTGCTCATAGCTGACCTTCCCCTCTCGTACCCAAGTTCCTGAGCCGAGGCAACTTTGGTGATGACGGACACGTGGCCTTAGGCACGAGTCAGGGTTTCCCAAATTTTCCAAAAATAAAATATTTAGGTGGCGACTCTGTATCTGGCAAAGCAGTCCATGTTTGGCACTTCTTTCTAAAAATCAGTTTTTCAAAACGATTTGCCGGATTTGGACACTTTGGTGATTTATCAATCTCGCATTGTACTTTGCAAGATCAGATTAAGAACCGTGACATTGAGTCCAAACTGTAGTGAGCCTAATGAACAAAACGGAATTTTCCCAGGACGTTTGGGCGCGTCTACATACGCCTCCTCCTAAAGTTGAAGAGCAGATAAAAAAAGAAAATAATTTACTATGCACTATGAAGAAGAGTCCAATTCCTCCTTCCGGGCCAAATCCCTACATCTACATTCCAACACCTAGCATGAAAACTAGTACCATCAGCCAAAAAAGTTTTGCAAGGTCATGGTAAGCCTCGTCCTGCCTACCCACAACTCATGGTTCCCTTAGGTGTGGCAACAAATTAATTCTAAATATTATTAACCGATCATAACTTAGTGACAATATCACAATATCTTTATGTTAGTGACTAAAAATAAGTCAGACAAAAATAAGACTAGTGCAAACCAAATTGTAATATTTTTTCCAATTGTTTATTTGTTGTTCGGTTGGGTATATCATATGTACTACTGGAGCTATAGAATACGGATAGGACAAAAGAATGCTTTTTGGTGTGTATTTTTTTATGGTGATTTGATCATAGTAGAAGAATAAAAAAAAAAGCTATTTTTTGCTTCTTGCTATATGCTATTGTTGTTGTTGATGCTAAAGGTTTTTTGTGTAGGTAATTTTCTGCGAAAGCACTCATTATTGAAGTAAAAAGTTAAAAATTGTAAAGAATTTTACTTAGAATGATGAAGTGTGGTTGAAATTTGATTGATATATTATAAGATTTATACATGAATTATACATTGATATTTTTAAAGAAAATTTTGACCATACGATGTTGCTCTTACTAACATAAAAGTGACAACTTGTAAATGAAATTGTCATTTAAGGTATTTTTGAAATTTTAAGCACTCAAAAATGGTGTACTCCTACAAAATATAAGAGTATTAGAGACTAAATTTTTTTGTCTCTCTAAGCAAAAATTTTGTTATAAAAAATATTAAGAGTCGTCTCAAAAAGTTCAAAAAAAAAAAAAAAAAAAAACTGGTCCATGCATGTTTGTTGGAGTGAAATCGTCTATCTGCGGGGTTTCATCAGTGATTATTGGAGGGCCTTCCGTCACGCCCGCCATGGATATGCTTGTGTATTCCCACAGACGGCGCCAATTGTGGAGAAGTGGTTTGGAAATACTCTTCTGATCCTGGGAGACGCTCGTGATCCGCTGATAGTCACCTGAAAAGGAATAAACACTCCGGTCGGGGGTGCCAGAATTAGCACTCCGACGGACGAATCAGTCTCAACACTCAAGATTACTTATATTCTAAATTAAGCACAACGATTCTCACATACCTTTCTTAGTCTGTTTTTCCTTTATTTATACTCGTTTCCTGGGCCTCGAGGCTAGGTCCACTTTTCACTCATTATCCTTTTATTTACTTGGCTCCATAGTTCAGTATCTACTCGGCTTATCTATTTTATTCGGCTTCCTGATCGTGCAGGAAAGAGCCGAGTAATATCTGTCTTCTAGAGTACGCTCCGGCCCCCACATAGATAATTCTGTGTTCGAGAAGAAATTACCAATATCATGAAAATATAAAATTTGTTGATTGCATTTAGAAAAAAAAGTTTTCATTTTTGTGACGATGATGATAATTTGGAGTGAACATTTCAATTTTCGTAAATTCCAATAATAAATCATCGTAGATTAAGTCCCCTTTGATAATAGTGATTGAGACTCCCCTTATTGGGAGCATCCTGCTGTCAATGGGAGACGTTCTCGTATCCTGTTGCCATGAGGAGCATAGCTTTTGCCGTTACCTCTTCGGATAGGCCATGAGAAATACATTCACCTACATGTCAAACATGTATGAATAAATGATACTAGAGTTGTTATTGCTATTGTATAAAGTTGTCATGTTCCTGAAATTAGAGTTTTGGGGGGGAGGGGGAGAGATGCGTTTAGATTTTGGTTTCTGATCATCAATTTTTAACATGCTAGGAGATGCACTAAACAGACCTAAAGACTCCCCTTAAAATTTGGAGTTCCCTTGTCTTGAAGAGACTAGGGAAATGGTGTAAATTGTGAAATGCTAACTCTTTCTTTGTATTTCAGGACAAATGATAAAAGGATGGGATGAAGGTATCAAATCTATGAAGAAAGGTGAACAAGCCATCTTCACGATACCTCCCGAGCTGGCTTATGGCGAGTCTGGATCCCCACCAACTATTCCTCCTAATGCAACCCTTCAATTTGATGTTGAGTTGCTATCTTGGACTAGTGTCAAGGACATCTGCAAGGATGGAGGGATAATTAAGAAGATACTCAACGAAGGAGAGCAGTGGCAGAACCCCAAAGATCTGGATGAAGTATTTGGTATATGTTCTATCTATTATTTTTATTTTATTTTTTTTGTATCTTGTTTAACTAGATAACATTGAATTATTGACATCTTGTGCAACCTCATGTTCATTCTTGCAGTTAAGTATGAAGCTCGGCTTGAGGATGGAACACTTGTGTCAAAATCTGATGGGGTGGAATTCACTGTTGGAAATGGTTTGTATTGTTGAAATTAGTTTTAATATCGTTTTTCTTTTATCTTCTTGGTTTATAGGTTATTTTCAAGTATTTCTTGACATGGTGATCCTTTGTGCAGGGTATTTCTGTCCTGCCCTGTCAGAAGCTGTGAAAACAATGAAAAAGGGTGAAATGGTCCATCTGACAGTGAAGCCACAATGTAAGTTCACTTAAAGTATCGCTTGAACCTCTGCTATGATAAGTAGTATGGCGTTAAATTTTCATAAATATTTGTAAATTGCCACAGATGCATTTGGGGAGAAGGGCAGACCAACAATTGGTGAGGAATGTGCCGTGCCACCAAATGCCACTCTTCAGATAAATCTTGAATTGGTTTCATGGAAAGTTGTTTCAGAAATTACCAATGATAAGAAGGTTTCAAAGAAAATATTAAAGGAAGGAGAGGGATACGAGCGTCCAAATGATGGAGCAGTTGTTCAAGGTAACTAATCTATGTGGACAAAAAACATAGTAAAATAATTTATTATTTACTTCATGTTAGAGATTGGGCAGTCCTATAATTTTATATTCTACCTTTCTGTTGTGGGACAGTAAAATTGATTGGGAAGCTGCAAGACGGGACTGTCTTTCTGAAGAAGGGACATGATGAGGAGCCATTTGAATTCAAAATAGATGAAGGTAATTAGCATAATCTTGGCTATATTATCATTTTTTTGAAGATTTTTGAGTTTCTTGTTTTCTAAATCATTCTAAGCTTGACTTGGGATTGAATTTTGAACAGAACAAGTTATTGATGGACTTGATAAATCTGTCAAAACAATGAAGAAGGGAGAGATTGCGCTTGTAACAATTCATCCAGATTATGCTTTTGGTTCATCCGCATCACACCATGAATTAGCTGTTATACCTGCCAATTCCACTGTGTATTACGAGATCGAGATGGTCTCCTTTGTGAAGGTTAGTGTGAAATTAAATACTTCCCCTATCTGATTTGTTTTTTATGTGGATTGAGTGGGACTAACACTAGTGCTTAAAAAACTTGCAACTATAGGAAAAAGAATCTTGGGAAATGAGTACACAGGAGAAGGTTGAAGCTGCTGGAAAGAAGAAACACTACAAGAAATGTTTGTTTTAAAGGCGTTTATATAATGGCGTTTTCTTAAACGTCGTCTTTTTTAATATTTAACGGCGTTTTATAAACGTCGCCTTTTGTGCTAATCAAAATGGCACTGTTTAGCCGATAGAAAACGCCTCCGAATGTGTTATAATCTCTCACACCATCTCCCTCCCGCTTGAGACTCTCATTCTTTACTCTTCAGTCTCAGAAAGAAGATGCCTCAAATCTCTCGCTCACTCTCTCGCTTCAGCTTGGTTTTGTTCTCTCTCGCTCATTTTCACTCTTCTCTGTCACCATACTCATCTCTCTCTCTCTCTTTCTCTCTCCTCTGCTGATCTCATCCACACTCACCGCCGCTGCTGTCTTCTCATTATCGCCTCAGATCGACAACTACAGTGGTGGAAGAGGATGGTGGTGGTGGTGCTCGTTGAAGAAAAGAACAAGGGACGAGATCTGAAGGATTTCGAACTAATTAAAGCCAGATCTGAAGGTTTCAAAGAACACCTAATCCAAATATGGGGGTTTCGAATCAGATATGTTGGTAAGCTCCTTCGAATCCTTCCGTTTTCAGTAAAAACCTCTTTTCATCAACTTCAGTATATGTTTGTGTATGTTTGTGTATGCTTTCTTCTCATTATCTCCGATCCGAACATTCCAGAGTCTCAATGGCCGAATTCTCTACTTCTCTCTCACCGATCTGGTCAGAGTTCTATTAATTCGTGATTTTCTTCTCTCCTCTGTAATTAATGCTTGATTGTTCTTTTTTTTTTTTTGGTATTCTCTGGATCTGATTTCTTTTTGTTTTTGTTTTTGGTGCTTAATGTTTTTTTTTAATTAAATTTTTTGTTTGCTGTAATTTGTGCTGATTCTGTTGGATTTTTGAGGCTGCAATTGATCTCATCCACACTCACCGCAGCCCCTTCATTGGAGAGCATGGGTGGAATGAGTGCTCTAACTGCAGTTGACGTTCCTACACTGCTTGGAACTAGTCCCTTTTCACTTGTGGGTTGTACGTGATTTCGTAAACTATATTTCTTCACTCTTATTTTTGTTCTTAAAAGGATTGTTCTGCCAATTAATTTCATGATGATGTGTGCCTTCAAAGCATGGACAAATGGAACCCTGGATTGTTTCTGGTTGTGTATCTGTTGTAAACTTTTTATATATATTATTGATCAGCTTTGTAAACTTTGTGTATTATCTGGATGGTGAACAATAAAAATAAAAATCTCTGTTTGGCACCACTTAGAATAAGCTTTAGGAAAAGGTGCATAATTCAAGTCTCAGTTGGGAAATAATACTAGTTGTAAAAGTAAGTGTGGATGATTTACCTGGAAGATAGTAGTCTGATTGGCAACTCGTATAACATCTCGCATTCTTACACAGATTTTATCAACATGGGAGTATGTTTTTAGTGTCCAATTTTCTCTAAACTTTGGAGTGTATACTTTTAATTATATGCTCATAATTACATATTACCTATAAATAAAAAAAAGATTCACGATTATAGAGATAGTGTTGCATTCATCACCATTGGATTGCCTTGTTCTGCGTAGAGTAATAAACTTTGTTTAGTAGTGTCCCAGGGGTGGATTTCCGTCTGCAGTAACTGTTTTGCACATATATAGAGCTCATAACGGCCATAATGTAGTTGTGGAAATCTCATGCAAATGTATAGCTTTGGATAAGCTTTGTTTGCTCTTTTCTTATTAGTATTGTTGTTATATGATGCAGCTGACAGGAATGAAGAAAACAAGCAAGTCAATCCTGTGCCTGCATACTTGCGTTGGCTTCTGAAAAGAATGACAGACTTTTCTAACTTTTCTTTTTATTCAATGAATCACATATACACTGTACAAGATATTATATAGGAAAATATCTAACTAACTCAGTAACTAACTAACCAACTCAGTAACTAATGCAGTAACTAACTCAGCTAACAAACACTCTAACCATCTAACAAACATTACAACTGTAGCTATGTTTGTTACAGATATTTTCTGAAGAGCATTTAGGAAAACAAAACTATGATGAACAAGCTATCAATGCTGACTTCTTCTGCAGTGATGGCTCTGCCTCTAGCTGTGAATCTGTGGTTGCTGCAGCTGGGTATGTATGTATCTTAGCTGCCTCACATGCAGGCTGATCAGGTGCGTGGACTAAGTTTGAGAGAAATCGGAGGTGGTTTTCCAAAACACCATTGTGCTCCATCTCTTCATTGCTAAACCCTTAACAATGGTGCAAAACATAAAGAGACTAAGGGGACATAAAGAGACTAAGGGGACATAGGGATGCTGTTTATTGTGGTAATCTTCTTATCCTTAACTATATTTAACTAGTGTGGTTTTGGGAATTCCATTCATTCAAATGGTAGAGATATTCTTAGGTGGTTCTTTGGTGGCAGTAGTTGTAAAAAAATCATATATATTAGCTTCTAATTATTTTTTTGGATAACAATTTTAGTATTATTATTATTTAAAATTTTTGTTGTTTGTTGCTCCCTATTCTTCTGCTAATCAGTATGTGTACTGAGAAACAAATTAATGTTTATCTATCTATCCCACCATGCCTTTTGACTTTTACCGATCAAAAAAAAAAAAAAAAAAAACACAAAGTAAACATGTTAATAAAATTTGCTCTTTTTTAATTAGTTAAACAGGACTGTTTTACGAAATTGTCTCAACCACATCTCAGATATTGGCTTTTAGAGCACAACATTAATAGTTTATATATTGCCATATTCAGTTTGTTTGGATGGAACTCCATTTTCATTCCTTGTGTTACTTGTCTACTCTACTTAATTTTACTAAAAGGGTGACATTACTGACTTGGCTGTAAGTTCAAACAATGCTTTGGTGGCATCTGCTTCAAATGACTACAGCATTCAAGTTGTAAGGGTTCTTTCCAGTTTACATTTAAAATATAAATCCGTCATACTATTTATCCCTTGGTGACCTAATAGTTTTTTCTTGCGTATTACAGTGGCGCTTGCCAGATGGATTTCCTATTTCAGTTTTGCGTGGACATATAGGAGCTGTTACTGCCATTGCATTTAGTCCCCGGCCTAGCTCTATGTACCAGTTGTTATCGTATGTTACATCCTATACTTCTAAATGCATGTTCTATTCCCTATAGTCCCTCAATTGATCTAATGGCTTTATTCTTAATATGTCATTTGATAGTTGTCCTGTTCTTCTGCTAGCACCCAGAAATTTTATCATAAGCTAAGAAGCACATGTGAAGCACATGTTGCATCAATACAGATTTGTTGTTCCTCAATCTTATTTTGTTGTATTGTTTTATGCTCGGTCTAGCTAGGATGTCCTGGTTTTCACATCAATCTCTAAAGTTCATTTAAATGTTATTTTCCCAAGGAGGTGTTGTTCCAGTGTATAAGCGGAACATTCAAATGAGTTATGTTAGTGATGTTTGGAGTCTTTAGTTTCTAAGGTCAGGTCATAGCTTTTGATTGGTTAGATTTACAATGCTCTTTCATAATTCACACATAAATTGTATGGGTGTATTAGAAGCCTGAATAATATTTTTGCCTTGAACATCCAACAATGCACTAAAATGTGGAATTATTTTATCTGCACTATTTGAAATGTCCAATCATTTCAATTGTCTGACCTGCCTATTGAAAACCAAAAAATTTGTAGTGAAGTGTATAGTTGATAAAATCATATTGTGAATCAAAATATTAATTTTGCTAATTGTGAATCAAATTGAAATGAGAATTGTAAGATTTGACACAAAATATAAAAATGATATTAAATAATCGGATATATGAAAAATTAAAATAAATGGATTTTGGTAATTTTGGAGCTTTGTGATTTAAAGTTGCCAGATGTTGAAAACAAGTGGTGCTGCTGGAATGGCTCCTCAGCGCCGTCGATCATCCTCGGCTACTCTGTTTGGAAGGATGACACAGGTTATTTAAAGTTCCCATTTGAATTTCCATGTTCTGTCATCAAACGAAGTTTTAGTCCTTTTGTTAGTTCAGGTGTTTGCTATTATTTTTATTTACAGAGTTTCCGAGGAACTCCGCAAGGAGTTAATCTTTCCTTTGTAAATGGTGGCCTGATTGGTGGAGCAGAAACTTTACAGGAAGTTGAAGCCAAATACCCAGCTTTGCTTTTCAAGCAGTAACTTACAGCATTTGTAGAAAAGATTTATGGAATGATTTGAGATAACCTTAAGAAAGAAATTTCTCCATTGCTTGGGTTGTGCATCCAGGTAATTGAATCTGTTCGATTCTTAAATTACCAGGCACAATTTATGGTAAAAGGAGGAATGAAATTCTTTATTCTATGGGTTATTTTATTAATTTACTTGGTAAATTATTTCTGTATAAAATTTCTTTCGGAATATGAAAAAATAGGCACCAAGAACTTCGAGGGCAAGCTTGGTTAAGGGATCATCACGTTCAGTTGCAACTACAGCAGCACAGCAAGCGTTGATTGCTCACTGGCAAGGGATTGTGAAGAGCCTGGGAATTTTCTTGAACAGTCTGAAAACAAATCATGTCAGTAAAATTTGTCACTGCTTTCATTCCTTGTTATGCCATTTTTTCTTCCCCATTACCCGTTTCGATAAATTTGGTGCCTTTTGTCTGGCTTCTTGACATTGTTTTTATTTGTCTGCTTCCAATCCACTTCAGCTCTCCAAACATGGCACTTAAATGTGCCATTTACATAGTTGACTGGCTTGGATTTTGGGGGAATGCTTCTGTTTTTATTTACTGTGCATAGATTTTCTCCTGAAGCACCCTTTTGCTTACCTGTTTTCTTTTTCATTTTACTATTTTCAGGTACCTCCATTTTTAGTTCGCAAGGTGTTCACACAAATATTTTCATTCATCAATGTTCAACTATTTAACAGGTAGTCTACATGTTGTCTTTAGATGCTTTTTGAAGTTTTTATACTGCAAGTAAGTTTTTTCTTATGGCCTTGTGCACACTTTTTGGGACCACAGCCTTCTATTAAGGAGAGAATGTTGTTCATTCAGTAACGGTGAATATGTTAAAGCAGGACTCGCTGAACTCGAACATTGGTGTTATAATGCAACAGATGAGGTAGCATCAGCATTGATTTATTACCACTTCACTTTGTGTTGTATAATTTCTATTTTAGTAAGCAAAAACATATTGCAGTATGCAGGTTCAGCTTGGGATGAGCTCAAGCATATCAGACAGGTTATAGGGTTTTTGGTATACCCTTCCTTTCATTGTTCATCTTGGACTCCTCTCTTTCACCATTAGTCGTTCTAAACTTTGAAATGGAAGAATCCCACCTGAAAGGAAACACAATTCCATAAACCACAAACATGAGATATTAGCATCTCTATAAAGGATGGAGTGCTTTTCATTAACTCTTTTGATGACATGAAAACTAATAATTTTCTGCATCAATTGGCAATCTTCTTTTATACTTACTTGAACCAAATATGAGAGGTTCCAATTTTCACTACACCAAAAGAATGTAGGATTCCACCATCAATTCAATATCTAGGAATATTACTAATCTAAGACTTCAATAAGCATATATGCCAACAATTTATAATTATTTGAGATCTTCAGAAGATAAAATTCTTTCTGGCAACAAGTTTTAAGTACTGTTTATAAGTATTGGGCACAAATTCTTCAATTTGTGTTTATTTTGGTGAATCTGATTGCAGTTTATGTTCTGTAGTTTTTCATTTTTTCCTATAATCCCATCAACTTCCTATCAAGGAATTTCCTTTTGCACTCAATAACTATATTTGTGGAAAGTCTTTTATCTGCTTGCCTTAGCATTCCTGGATCTCAATCTTTTTGTTGTCATTGTTGACAGATTCAAGGATTATATCCATGCAAAGTATCATTCCTTATATGAGCAGTACCTTAAAAGAAGTGACAACGCAGTCGCCATGTGAAGTAAGAAATTCTTCCATGTAAAGTATTTATATAAACCAAACCAAACCAAACTAAGACTTAAGTCCCATCATATCTTTTTTTTCCTTAGCAGTACCTTGTTGAAATAGAAACAAATGTTAGCTATATACTTATATATATATATATATATATAGAGGGAGCACCCAATTTGGTGTTCATGAAGTTTTGTGGACTTTTATTTTCCAAAAGTAAAACCTGACTTTCCACTTACAAATAGTTACAACTACTTTATATATATATATTATATTTTGTTAATTTGGCACACAGTGTGTGCCTCACCTTCTAGTACGATGAAATGTAATACTGCTACAGGTTGTTGAGATTTTAAGTTGAACACAAGTGATACTGGCATATTGAATGCAATTTGAGTAAACTAGTTTCAGAATTAAATTATTATTTTTTGCTTAAAATGCTTTGCAAGATAAACTCTTTGAGAGCAGAATTTTATTGTTGATTTACCATGATTGAACCTCCTAGTTTTACCATTAGTATAAGTTCATCCTCTCTCTCTCTCTCTCTCTCTCTCTCTCTCTGTGAGCAGGTTGGCTGTACAAAAGGTGATGATGCTGGTCTTTCAAATGCGCACATGATTATGGCAGAGATTCCAAATGCTTCAGAAGCGGTGGTATAGGTGCATGACTTGGGGTGAAAAAATAAATTTCTAGCAGTATGGTGGTTCTTGCTTTATGTAGGAAGGGTAATATTTGATGTGTATTATTAATACTCTGTTCAACTCTGGAAATTTGGAGACATTGATTAGAAAATCTGGACATGAATGCTTGATGCTTTGTGTCTAACCCAATGAATATGAAGGCATAATTATTTCTTGGCTAAACACAACTTTTAAGGTCGTAATCTGACCCAATGACAAATGTTATCTGTCCTAATTTATGGTATTGATTTGAGTAGTGGAAATCATTATAACTTCTTCCCAACCCTATTTGCCTTAGGCACTATTACTTTTTATTATTCAACTGTTAATTTCACTTTTATCTTTAAATTATTCTCATTTTATTTTTTGGGATTGAACTTATTGGATTTTTTTCTTGAAGGATGTTGTATGGGGTACTATTATAGATGTGAGGGAATATTAATCTCACATAAATATATGTCTATACAAAGTTTTATTCATTATTGCTATTTTACAGGTATATTTTTGAAGTTAAATCTCACACAAAATTAGTAGTTCAAATCATAAGCTAAGAAGCACATGTGAAGCACATGTTGCATCAATACAGATTTGTTGTTCCTCAATCTTATTTTGTTGTATTGTTTTATGCTCTGTCTAGCTAGGATGTCCTGGTTTTCACATCGATCTCTAAAGTTCATTTAAATGTTATTTTCCCAAGGAGGTGTTGTTCCAGTGTATAAGCGGAACATTCAAATGAGTTATGTTAGTGATGTCTGGAGTCTTTAGTTTCTAAGGTCTGGTCATAGCTTTTGATTGGTTAGATTTACAATGCTCTTTCATAATTCACACATAAATTGTATGGGTGTATTAGAAGCCTGAATAATATTTTTGCCTTGAACATCCAACAATGCACTAAAATGTGGAATTATTTTATCTGCACTATTTGAAATGTCCAATCATTTCAGTTGTCTGACCTGCCTATTGAAAACCAAAATTTTTTTAGTGAAGTGTATAGTTGATAAAATCATATTGTGAATCAAAATATTAATTTTGCTAATTGTGAATCAAATTGAAATGAGAATTGTAAGATTTGACACAAAATATAAAAATGATATTAAATAATCGGATATATGAAAAATTAAAATAAATGGATTTTGGTAATTTTGGAGCTTTGTGATTTAAAGTTGCCAGATGTTGAAAGCAAGTGGTGCTGCTGGAATGGCTCCTCAGCGCCGTCGATCATCCTCGGCTACTCTGTTTGGAAGGATGACACAGGTAATTTAAAGTTCCCATTTGAATTTCCATGTTCTGTCATCAAACGAAGTTTTAGTCCTTTCGTTAGTTCAGGTGTTCGCTATTATTTTTATTTACAGAGTTTCTGAGGAACTCCGCAAGGAGTTAATCTTTCCTTTGTAAATGGTGGCCTGACTGGTGGAGCAGAAACTTTACACGAAGTTGAAGCCAAATACCCAGCTTTGCTTTTCAAGCAGTAACTTACAGCATTTGTAGAAAAGATTTATGGAATGATTTGAGATAACCTTAAGAAAGAGATTTCTCCATTGCTTGGGTTGTGCATCCAGGTAATTGAATCTGTTCGATTCTTAAATTACCAGGCACAATTTATGGTAAAAGGAGGAATGAAATTCTTTATTCTATGGGTTATTTTATTAATTTACTTGGTAAATTATTTCTGTATAAAATTTCTTTCGGAATATGAAAAAATAGGCACCAAGAACTTCGAGGGCAAGCTTGGTTAAGGGATCATCACGTTCAGTTGCAACTACAGCAGCACAGCAAGCGTTGATTGCTCACTGGCAAGGGATTGTGAAGAGCCTGGGAATTTTCTTGAACAGTCTGAAAACAAATCATGTCAGTAAAATTTGTCACTGCTTTCATTCCTTGTTATGCCATTTTTTCTTCCCCATTACCCGTTTCGATAAATTTGGTGCCTTTTGTCTGGCTTCTTGACATTGTTTTTATTTGTCTACTTCCAACCCACTTCAGCTCTCCAAACATGGCACTTAAATGTGCCATTTACATAGTTGACTGACTTGGATTTTGGAGGAATGCTTCTGTTTCTATTTACTGTGCATAGATTTTCTCCTGAAGCACCCTTTTGCTTACCTGTTTTCTTTTTCATTTTACTATTGTCATGTACCTCCATTTTTAGTTCGCAAGGTGTTCACACAAATATTTTCATTCATCAATGTTCAACTATTCAACAGGTAGTCTGCTTGTTGTCTTTAGATGCTTTTTGAAGTTTTTATACTGCAAGTAAGTTTTTTCTTATGGCCTTGTGCACGCTTTTTGGGACCACAGCCTTCTATTAAGGAGAGAATGTTGTTCATTCAGTAACGGTGAATATGTTAAAGCAGGACTCGCTGAACTCGAACATTGGTGTTATAATGCAACAGATAAGGTAGCATCAGCATTGATTTATTACCACTTCACTTTGTGTTGTATAATTTCTATTTTAGTAAGCAAAAACATATTGCAGTATGTAGGTTCAGCTTGGGATGAGCTCAAGCATATCAGACAGGCTATAGGGTTTTTGGTATACCCTTCCTTTCATTGTTCATCTTGGACTCTTCTCTTTCACCATTAGTCGTTCTAAACTTTGAAATGGAAGAATCCCACCTGAAAGGAAACACAATTCCATAAACCACAAACATGAGATATTAGCATCTCTATAAAGGATGGAGTGCTTTTCATTAACTCTTTTGATGACATGAAAACTACTTTATATATATATATATATATTATTTTGTTAATTTGGCACAGTGTGTGCCTCACCTTCTAGTACGATGAAATGTAATTCTGCTACAGGTTGTTGAGATTTTAAGTTGAACACAAGTGATACTGGCATATTGAATGCAATTTGAGTAAACTAGTTTCAGAATTAAATTATTATTTTTTGCTTAAAATGCTTTGCAAGATAAACTCTTTGAGAGCAGAATTTTATTGTTGATTTACCATGATTGAACCTCCTAGTTTTACCATTAGTATAAGTTCATCCTCTCTCTCTCTCTCTCTCTCTCTCTCTCTGAGCAGGTTGGCCGTACAAAAGGTGATGATGTTGGTCTTTCAAATGCGCACATGATTATGGCAGAGATTCCAAATGCTTCGGAAGCGATGGTATAGGTGCATGACTTGGGGTGAAAAAATAAATTTCTAGCAGTATGGTGGTTCTTGCTTTATGTAGGAAGGGTAATATTTGATATGTATTATTAATACTCTGTTCAACTCTGGAAATTTGGAGACATTGATTAGAAAATCTGGACATGAATGCTTGATGCTTTGTGTCTGACCCAATGAATATGAAGGCATAATTATTTCTTGGCTATACACAACTTTTAAGGTCGTAATGTGACCCAATGATAAATGCTATCTGTCCTAATTTATGGTATTGATTTGAGTAGTGGAAATTATTATAACTTCTTCCCAACCCTATTTGCCTTAGGCACTATTACTTTTTATTAGTCAACTATTAATTTCACTTTTATCTTTAAATTATTCTCATTTTATTTTTTGGGATTAAACTTATTGGATTTTTTTCTTGAAGGATGTTGTATGGGGTACTATTATAGATGTGAGGGAATATTAATCTCACATAAATATATGTCTATACAAAGTTTTATTCATTATTGTTATTTTACAGGTATATTTTTGAAGTTAAATCTCACAAAATTAGTAGTTCAAAAAAAAAAAAAAAAATTTCTATTGCGGCGTTTTTCAAAACGCCACAATAGTTATATTTTTAAAATAACAAAAATCTATTACGACGTTTTTGAAGCGTCGCTAATGCTTATGTGACGTCATGTTACCATTTACTGCCACATTTAGCGGCGTTTTTATAAATGCCGCCTATACTAATTTTACGACGCTTTTAAAGCGTCATAAACTTACAGTGACGGTCGCGTCCTCGGCGTTTGGTAGTAAGCGTCACTAAAGGAATTAACGGCGTTTTTCAGACATATAGCGGCGTTTTAGAAACACCGCTAAAAGTCATTTTCCCAGCAGTGTTTGATGGTTACATCTGTTTTTTTCTTTCTTTGGGGGCTCTAATATTATCATTGGGTACCTTGTGTTGTGGTTGGATGTGTGGTTTCTTGTGGGTGTCTTCACTTCTTCAGTGGTCAGTCATGGGTGAGCCTTCAAAACGACGTAAATCCACTGTCGCGTCCTCGGCGTTTGGTAGTAAGCGTCACTAAAGGAATTAACGGCGTTTTTCAGACATATAGCGGCGTTTTAGAAACGCCGCTAAAAGTCATTTTCCCAGCAGTGTTTGATGGTTACATCTGTTTTTTTCTTTCTTTGGGGGCTCTAATATTTTCATTGGGTACCTTGTGTTGTGGTTGGATGTGTGGTTTCTTGTGGGTGTATTCACTTCTTCAGTGGTCAGTCATGGGTGAGCCTTCAAAACGACGTAAATCCACTGTGTCCCTCCCACATTTTAACACTGAAAAATTTGAATCCAAGGAAAAATCCAAACTATTTAGGGAATTTTATGCCTCTAGGAAGGTTCACCTCAAACGAAATGTCCTTCCTAGTGCGTTTGAATTGCTCCCCATTCGTTCGTTGTTTGATTCCTTTGGGGGTGATCAAGTGTTGCTTTTCTCAAGGCCTCAAAATCTCAGTCTGGTCCGTGAGTTTTATTGTAATATGCATCCTATCTGCAAGGAACTTGCTCCTTCCTTTAGCACTTGGGTTAGGAAGAAGTCCTTAGTCATCACTGATGATGTTTTTCAGTTGTTTCTTGGTCTTCCAGAAGTTCAGGATTTTCATTATCCTTTTCTCATTTGCAGTGGTGTTGACTTTGATCGAGTTGCCACTGAATTTTGTGGCACTCCCCGGACTTGGATTGCTGGGGCACTCATTCATCAAAATGAGCTTTTTCCTCATTTTTGCCTTCTTAACATCATTGTCTGTGCCAATATTCATGTGACCACTCATTCCTCTCACATTACCCAAGATCAGGGGTATGTGTTATATTGCATTGATCACCATCTACCCATTGATCTGCCTGCAATGATTGTCACCAAAATTATCTTTGTTTTTAAGGGACGTAAGTCCTTAGGTCTTCCTTCTGGTTGCTTTCTCACTAGATTCCTCACTTCTCTTGGTGTCCCCATCTTTGAGGATGACGAATTTGCCTCTATTATTAAACCCATTACCAAGTTGACCGTGTCTCAAAGTCAAGCTCATATTCGGGGGGTCCATCGGGAATTGGGGGTACTGATACAGGTGATGATCCTTTAGCTAAGGACGCCGAGTATGATGCAGCCGCTGCCACTAGAGATGCCTGAGATGCGTCCGCGTTCATTTTGTGGCCAACTGCAGCAGTTCGAGCAGTCGGTCATA